CACTTGAGATCGAAACGTGCTCCGTTTCGATCTCAAGTGCACATACCCACTGCAGTCGTCAGCAAACGTCTTCATTTTTCTCTCGTAGCTCCAGATGACGTTAGAGCCTCATGGGGATTTCCAGTTCAGATGTGCGTAACTCATTCCATTCCCTACCACTTCACATTAGGACAACTTCGCAGGATTCGCGTACTGGTGAAGGAAGACGGTCATGTTTCAGGAGGTGCTGTGTGTCCCCCGCATGGCAACTGTATAGTACTGATTTCGCCTTCTAGCAATAGAGCAACCAAGAGCATCGCACCTCTACTGTTTCATCTGCATGGTCTTGTTATAACGAAGGGACCAATTCAGATGCATGCCTTGTGCATCATCGAAACACTACGGAAAAAGGTAAGGAGAGCCTGCGCCAAAAAAAGGAGCCATGGATAAGGATGAAAAACCCGGCAAATTTTGGGAAAAATATCGTTATCACGGCCACAGGAAGATGCCCTAGACAGAGCGAAGTGGCGACGACTGATAAAGACAGCGGACCCTGCGACTGCGCGGGACTAACGCTAGGGAGAAGAAGAAGATAACTTTCTAACGATAGTTTGAAATTTACTGGGAATTCGGTCCTAGTCGAGAGTTCTCAATGATAATTTTTTCATTCTTAGCTTTTTCTACTACTCAACTGTGGTGTGCTGACTAAATGGAGAAGGCTCGCCTCCAAAACATATTGTAGGACTCCCAACATGAGTATCACAAGATTCCTGCCTTTCTTCAGTCCTCTCCAAAGGCTTAGTCTCAGAACTACACAAAACAAACGATTCTCCATCTACACCTTCGCTCTCAGGTTGACGGAACCCTCGTAACACAATCTGGCAAAAAACAATCACGCCGACGTAAACGTTGGCGCAGTGGCTGTACTCGCACCGACCCTCTCGTGATTCACGCGATATGTTTAAATCATCAAAACTGCTAGAGCCGCTTTCATGCGCTGTGGCGAATACTTGTTGGTTCTTGGCATTCCTTTTCAGAGATACTCATTCGCATAAGCCTTTCCGACTGGTCATCTTCTAGTCGGTGTTCTTCAGTCAGGTTTATTTTTCCTTTGCAGACATGCAGTTCATTATAAATAACTGGAAGTCTCGCGTAGGAGGTCCTGTGGATGCCAGTGAGTTAAATTCTGATTTGGTTTTGATTCATCAGTACTCATATTTTTTGAACAGATGTGGGGCCCTATTCATTGGCACAGTTGGGTTTCTGGTGTGAGAGTTGTCAAGCTCTGATT